ATACGGTAATAAATATAGCGGTTTGATAATGTGGATAGTTATTAGCTAATTAGGCCAGTCGTTCGATGAATCTGAAATTTTGTTCTCGTAACTTTGATAACTGATTCAAGTATTATGGATGACTGTTGCAGTATTAAACAGGGATTATCTAAAGTACGTGTATCGTATTATCGAGTACGTCGTTAATATAAGTTACAGCTAAATGTCTTAATTAACGGCTAAATATTTTAATTAACGACCAAATAGTCCAGAGTTTCCATTCTACTTCAGCCAATTAATTCTTTGTCTCTGTTGTTTCGAAGTCGGGCTTATCTTAGTTCGCATGTTTTTCCAATGCATTTCCCACGGCTCAGTTAACCGCGAAACGAAACTCAGCGTTTCAAAGTCTCAGCAAATTTTCCCTTTCGATAATTCAACAGTCGAATTTTCTATTCCAGTCGATTAATTGGTTTAAACGTCGAATCGAAAAAAGAGACTCAAGATGTGACCAAAATTTCTGTCACACGCGGTCAAAAGATCATTCTTTCCGTACAAATAAATAGAAACTCGAGAAAATAGAGATTTTTCATCAACTTTTTCAAATTTCACCGATGCAATTACCTGTAACGTGTTACATACGTAAATACACCACGTACAGAGAATTTTAATTAAAGCGGTGTGATCAAGCGCAATCCAACTAAATGATCATCCTTCTGCGCGGATAAAAGTCTACGTTAATTCCAAAAAATCGTGAAAAAATCTGATATTCGTAATTTTAAACAGTTTGACAAAGTTCTCATAGAAGATACTTTAACTGAACGTTACAGATTATGTTCGAAATTGATTTTCTCGAAACCTAAATCTCCAATGAAGACACTTCGACGCTATTTTTCTATACTTTTGACCTACTTTTGTGCGAAGAAATGGTCACATGTACCGTTATTTTCGAACTATACCTTATCGAGAAAGAAAACGAGAATTAACCAGCGACTTCGCACTTTCAATTTCAATTCGATTCGATCGTATTACGAATTACTGCGCGCCGTAAGGAACAAAGTTTCTTCAAAGTTCAAGGTTTCAAAAAACGGAAAACTCTGCACGTCGCAGATAAGAAAATGTTCTGGCCTCGCGATGAAAAAGATGAGTCGTCACCAAAGGACTAAACGTAACGCCGACAATAATTTGTGCAAGTATCGTGGCTAA